GCTCGTGTGATTCCATCCCTGAGAAACACTAGGTGATCATTAAACTGTGCAACAGAGTTGTGTAGGAGTCCACCCGGCACACTTGTGCACATACCTTCTGCCTTCACCAGTGACCTCATCTCCCTGTGGGCTGAGTCACACAGGTCCACACCTGGTGTTACAACTTCCCTCCAATTTCAGATAACCCTCCTTACACCACTTCACAGAAACTCAAGCAAGCCCCCTGGCGCTCACTTCCACAAGCAAACTGAAGGTCTTTTTCGAGGTAAAGTGCCACATTTTTTGCAGCACCTAATATGTGTTTCTTAACCGTTTAACATGTGCAAATCCATGCTAGTTTAGTTTTTTATTAAATGGGTCATTGGCAGTTTTTGAAAGTTATGCCCTGAACTTCACTGTTGCTGGAAGTCTTGTGGGTTTTGTTGCCTGATTCTGCATAGTTCAGTGATTTAGAGCACGTGTTCTATGTATGTTGTGTTAAATCAGAACCGACTGTACCATGTGCGGGTTTATCTGTAGAATAGATTCCCAAGTGGAAGGGCCCAGGGTTTTAGGAGTTAAATTCTGAGGGATTGCTGCTGTGGTAGGCGTAAATTATGCAGTTGGTTTGATTTTCCTTTTTCATAAAAACCACTATGATAAGAGCTGAAGGATGTGTGTCAGCGTGCTTCGGGAATAACTTCGCTCCCGTTTAATCTAAAACTTGTGGCTGTTCCTGGACGTGTGCTGGTTGTCAAGGAGGCCCTGTGCGTGTTGGTGTGAGGCAGATATCTCGTGGAGGAGGGAATCGCAGAAGAGATGGAGATGCGTGGGAGTCTGGCCAGATGGGAGTGTGAAGTTGTGGCTTTTCTCCCTCTAACTTCTTCAGAGTCACCTGAGACAGAGGCCTTCAAGCCAAGAGACAGGAAGGGACTGGTTATCAGCATGGAAATGTCTGATCGTGAGAGCGCCCACCTCCACCCAGTGCCATCCGAAAAGAATGGCTCTTAGAGGCATTTTAAATCCCAGAGCTCAGACCTGAGCCCAGGGCTGGGGCATGTAGAACAAAGGAGTTTGTTTGGTAAGAGCAGTTAATAATAATGCTCTCTTCCCTACAGGACACAAAGGTAAAAGAGTCAGAAATTGGAGATGAGGGAGACAGTTCAGGAGGTGCGCCCACGTGTTTTATTTGATATTTTGCTCTAACGTTTTAGCAGAATTTTCAGACCCTTCCAGCTTATTAGTTCACTGTTTCTTTAAAGAGTTCTATTTAAAAACAAAATAATTTATAATTCATAAATTTCTTTTCTGATTTTAGTTAACTATAAAGAGTGCACTTAAGGCCCTGGTTCTGTTGATATCAGTTTATGAAGCCTTGGAGCCAGCAGAAGTAAAGGACATTAAAAGTCTTGAAAACAGAATGATGATAGACTTTTACACTTTCTTTTTTCCTTTTTTTAAAAGTTAATTAATTATTTATTTGTTTTTGGCTGTGTTGGCTCTTTGTTGCTGCGCTCGGGCTTTCTCTAGTTGTGGCGAGCGGGGGCCACTCTTTGTTGCGGTGCGCGGGCTTCTCACTGAAGTGCCTCCTCTTGTTGCGGAGCACAAGCTCTAGGCGCGAGAGCTTCAGTAGTTGGGGCACGTGGGCTCAGTAGTTGTGGCTCGCAGGCTCTAGAGCGCAGGCTCAGTAGTTGTGGCGCACGGGCGTAGTTGCTCTGTGGCATGTGGAATCTTCCCGGACCAGGGCTTGAACCCGTGTCCCCTGCATCGGCAGGCAGATTCGTAACCACTGTACCACCAGGGAAGTCCTACACTTTCTTAATACTGTTTTTTCCCATGTATGTTTGATTAAAAATTGCTCCCTGTGTCATAAAGTAGCAGTATGAACTATTATAATATTGAAGATACAAGTTATGAAGATAAATTAGGCAAAGCACCTTTAAACAAGTTAGTATTTAAAATTTAACAAAGAAGAAAGTCATTTGTCTTGTTAGGTATTGTGAACATGGCAGGTTTGATCTGGAAACTGGAGTTTAACTTGTAGTTTTCTTGTCACCAGTGATTTTGAAACCTTGCCCCATTGTTTTGAGATTGCCCAGTTCATTTCTACAATTTTTTTTCATAAAGATGTTGAAAAAGAGTATCTCATACATTGTCAACTCTTTTTGAAAATAATAATTATTGATTTAGCTAAGCTGCTCTTCATTTATTTTATTATCTTCTGAGGATTTCTTTATTGATATTTCTCTATTACAATTTTGATTTGATATTAATATAACTACACAGTAACAAGAAGTAGACTATTAAAATCTTCACCATAATAGAAAATCCAGTCTGCCTGTCTCTGAGGTCTCTGCCCTGTTCTGTGCTTAGAAAGATACACTTCCATTGTCTCCCTCCTTTATGATTATTTGCTACAACTGTCTTGCTTTTAGAAAGATGTCTTGTGTTTCAGCTCTCCCAGGTGATCTTAACATTGTCCATCTTATATGTACAGAATTCAACAGGAGTTAGGTATTTGTAGATGTTAAAAACCTTTAGTGAAACATAGTAGAACTCTTCATAACTGACTGTTCTTCACTTAAAGTTTTATTGTAAAAGAAACCTCTTATTCATTCTCTGGCTACATATGCTAATAAAAGAGACTAGGGATGGCCTATTTAATGTGATCGGAAATTTTTATGAAGGAGAAGGGACAGGATATCTCAGGCACTAGTTGGTCACTTGCTTTGTTGTGTCTTTTTTCCCCCAGAGATGATTCTTACAGTCTGGGATACATGATGTATATGCATATATCCCGGGGATATGCTTAGGAAAGCAGTACAAGCAATGGTACGACTTTCATCTTTAACTTGGAGAAGGAACTTCCTCCTTTGCCTTTGTCTGGGTTCAAGACCTTCTCAGCGTCCGCCGGACTGATTTGTTTTATTTAAAAGACTGTGTTTTCCACTTTTTAAAAAATGAAACTTGGATATGTAACTTTCTTATTACTAATAAAGTAACACATATTGAGGATTTCTCTGTGTCCCAAGCACTGTGCTAGCCCTTCAGTGGCCCCCTTCCCCCAGCACGCTCTCTGAGGACGGCACTGCTGTGATCCCCACTTGACAGCTTGGGGAGTGTTTATGGAGGTTGGGACACTTTCCCCCGTTGCACGGTTAGTGAGTGGTGGAGAAAAGGTGCCAGCCCATCTCTGGGACTCCTCTCAGCCGCCTGAATAGATTTGCTTACCAGCTTGAATAAGGATGTGTTTGTCAGGTGATTAATGTAAAAATAATTTTTTAGAAAACATTTCTTTATCACTTAGGTCACAGTTGCTTGCTTATCTCTTCTTATTGCCAAAGTAGTAACACAGTTTCACGTGAGAACGTATTCCTTCTTCATCCCTATTTTTTTACAAGGGCTGATGAGCCAAATGTGTTTCATTCACGAGGCGAACAGTTCTTTCTTGATTTCATTTCCTTGTGATATGACATTACTTCCAGACTGCAGTGCGTATCATGCCCAAATAATTTGTGTTAAATGTTAAGCCACCAATTTGACTTCAAACGTTCCACATGGGAATCTGTTGAATTAACATTATGTCTTAGCCAAAGTGGGAAACTTTGATTTTTATCTCTCTCTTTTTTTTTTTTTTTTTTTTTTTTTTTTT